CTCAGGAGAAGGAAGCTGGGGAAGAGCAGAAAGAAAGGGAAAAGGCAGAGAGTGGAAGCAAGGAGGTAGCTCTTCCCTCTCTCCAGCCTGCAGACGGTGAAGGGCCAACTGTACGTGGTGACACGGTGGTGGGAACAAGCCTGTGAATAAACTGAACCTGTGGTTACTAACCCCAGGGTCTCAGAGTGATTTCGTGGACCAAGCAGAGACAGGAGCCAACGGGGTCATACCGCACTCTGCTGCACATACATATTTGAAATTTTTTTACACTGGGAATATGGTCTCTCTACCTTTACTCAGGGAATATAAACTTTAACTATCATTAAAAGTGATAAGGAAAACGAAGTTCTTATTAAGCCTACTAAGAATTAATATGAAAGTTACAGAAGCGTCTAGAAACCTTGAGAGGATGGGGAATGGGTAGCCACCAGTAACAGGAGAGGATGATGTAGTTAGTTGGCAGAATCAATTGACCTTAGATACTAAAGAGAGGGGAATGGGTGGAGCTGTGAACTGTGTAAAGACTGGATTATCTGGAATCTAAAAACTTCTGGAAGATTAATAGGGCATGATAGTGGGCCTTCATCCAAAGTTGGCTTCCTCATCTTACCTTTCAAAGTGGTGAATTCACTGGTTTGTTCTTTCTTGTTATACCTAGTAAAAGTGAAACTCGCTGCTGACTACTCCAAACAGGAGTGAACATATTATCTAATAGCATACAAATATATCTGATTCAAGGTCCGAAAGATGAAGGACAGGGTAAGCAACAAGAAAAGAAGTGAGTGAAGTAAAGAAAACAGATAATTTAAAAAAAATAAAATGTAAAAATTGTCAAGAGAAAAGCAAGATAGTAAAAATGTGCTCATCTCAAAAAGTGATAAACTGGTTTCTTTGGATCCTTAATGATTACACATGCCATTGAATGAAACTTTGTTTCTTGAAGTGCAAGAGCAAAAAATTGATGAATTTGATGATCCCGTAAGTAAGATGTTTTTGATATCATTGTATTTGCTGGAATGTATTCATGATGATAATTTAAAACCCCTGTCTCTAGTCTTCTTGCAGCTCTTCAACATCTACTTTGTGTCTCCGACACACAAAAATGGCAAAAAATGAAATATTGATTGTGCCATTAGAAAAAATGAAAGGGAAAGATTTGAACTTGAAAAGAAAAGTTGCAATTTTCTTTACTGGTAACAGCATAAAACTCTCTGTGCTCCAAAATTAGCAGTTGAAGGAAATGATTTAAGCATTTGCCCTGGATATGCTCTTTGAGATAGTAGATGGCAAATTAGAATCTATGAGATGCTGCAGATGAAGAAACAGAGGAAAAACTAAAGGAAAAAAATCAACATTGACATTTAATTCAAGGTGATTTGTTAAACAAAAGAAATTACTCAATAAAGGCTACAAGCAGTCTCATAGGGGAAAATGCGTTCCTACTTAATGGTATTGCTTCTTTATAGGAAAAGGATATTGCATCTAAATTGGTCAAAATGCCATCCAAGAATATAGAGATTATTATGATAAGGAGATCTTGTGATTTGCTCAGCCAGTGAAAGTAATATGGAAAACTTGAGAGAACTGCTTAGGTATTATCATCCTATACTTTTAAGATATGGATATTCAGAACACAATTTAAACCTCATGAAGTAAGATGAGGTTCCTGGTTGGCTGATTGAAAAAAGAGGACTGATACCTCAGTTTGCCCGTGTTTTTTGGTGAAACTCTTAAAAATGTTGTCTCCATATCTGCAACCAACTACCATAAATATGTTGACATTTGCATTGAGCCCAAAGAGTGCTTTGTTCAAAAAACAGTTTGCATTTTACACAAGGATTTCTATAGAGATGCACCAAAACCTTATCAGAGCAACTAAAGGAGCTTTTGGGGGGCCCTGACTGATTACAGGCTGATGACCCTACTCCTGCAGTCTCAGTGAAAATCCAGCTTCATTAACAACCAAGAACTAGACTAATACAGGGACAAAACTTAGGGATAATTTAGGGAAGCAATGGAACTTTTGATGATTGATTCTAAATACATATGTGGAGCTCATTAGTCTATACTTAGTGCTGTGTTCGTGGCAAATTTTCAGAAAATGTGGGAGAAACTGCAAAAACTGAGAAACTTAATTTTTAAAATATTTATTTTGATGTTTAAAATATGTCTGACCACATGCTATACATGCGTATTCAGTATATAAAAATTTTTCAAAATAAGCTTATGAGAGGTTACAAACTTTTCCTTACACACCTAACCAACCAAGACTATCAACAACCCTACCCCATAATCCTAATATACCTTTCATAACCCATCACTTCTGAATCTGCATGTATGTTAATCCAGCATAGTTGCTACTATAATTGCTGAAACTTGGTTCTTGACTGAGAGGGACTGATCTTTTGCTAAAACAGCAGAGTCAGTAAAGAGTTACTGAGGTTGTGGTACACAGGACAAAAATACACTTTTAATGGGTATAATAAGATAGTCTGGAGTTTGTAGTTCATAAAGAATTTTTTTGTCTCATACCCTTGGGGAAATAGTTTTCTATATTAACATATTGATGGGAGTTGTGATTTTTGTGTGTAATTATGTGGATTGTGAGTTGCCGTCTGCTAAGGCTTCTCTATTTTACACTACAATCCTTGTATGTGTGTGTTTACGATTCTCCATAATCTAAAGTGAACTTCAAAAACAGGAATATGAAATGACACATATGTTAAACACTTGCAGATTAAAATAAACAGATTCTAACAAATCAATTGCATGTTACAGATTAGAATTTATAGTTAACCCCATTACCTGGGTGAGTCAAGAGCTCTGACATCAGCTCCAGCAAAATTTGCATGCATGTTGTATGATTAGAAATCCAGGTTCCAAAAGGAAAAAATAATGAACATTGTAGAGATACCAAGAAACATGAGTATTCCCTAAGGAACAGGCAATAACCATATATTCCATTATATTTGGTAGCCAACCGCTTCTTGAAAATTTAGCAGGATTCAAAAGATGACTAAACATTTATACATATAACAAGAATAACCTGAATTTTTATGGTAAGGAATAAAAAAACCCCAAGAGCTTTGTATGGGAAATAAAAGATCAAGCTTTTAATTCAACCTCTAAATATTGGGGATTAAGAAGGTTTTCCTGTGTTCAAATTATTCCCAAACTGTCTATTGCTGGGTTTTCTTGAACCTTCCTCTGAAGCAACTTGTACTGTCTACTGCTGGAAGTACAATACTGGAATAATTGGACCAGTGGTCTGATTTGGCACAGCAATTCCTATGTTCTAGAAGGTGCTCAGTGATTTAGCCTGTCTTGAAAATACAGTTGAGTTGCTGATAAGAAATGACAATTAAACATGGGCTAAATTAAGTTTACAAAATGGTGGTCCTTGTTTAGTGGGGACTTATTCCAACCAACTTCATATGGAAAACTCTCAATCTCAACATGTGCTTCGTGTTTCCCTCTTGCTTCCTTGTATAACTCCTTATCTCATAAAGACTGTCCAATAGTGTGGATTCTGTTTCAGAGCTGGCACACTGTGGCCCTTCTCTTTGCCATATATTGCTTTAACTATTTCAATTTCATGGGGAGTCTCTCTATAGTATAATGAATATTGTTTAGACCTTTTATTGGCCTCCTGTGCTTTTTGTGTGTATGTCTGTGGACACGCCTGCTTCAAAATCTTTTCAAAAGGCACAAACTCTGAGTATTGGGCCCACATTTTCCCTCTCCTGGCTTGTGCATTCCTCTTCTGTCCTGGGTATTCCTATTTAATACCCTTCCAGGCTGTATTTTAATGAGACCATCCTATAAGTGACAATTTATTTTGGAAAGCAAATACAAGAAACAAAATCAAGCAAAGCTGAAGGTTTCGCTGAATCTTGTTTTAAAAGCAACGAACTGCTTAGTGAAGTCCACCACATGCTGCCACCAAAATTCTATTATAGTCAAGGCGTGCAGTTCATAAAACTGTCAAAAATGTTAAACTGAGACAGCTCCATGGGTGGCTACAGGTTAATCTAAATTGCTGACAGAAAAGAAATGAGATAGCAAGAAAAATGAATAGTCAGACATCTGCAATCATTTTAGCAAGCAGAATAATCTCTAAGGATCATGATCAATTAGATGAGAAGTAACGTTACTGTTCGTCATTTGCTATGAGTCTTTTAACATGTTGGTATAACGTACATCAAAAAGAGAACTTTGTGATATGAACAACACTAGCTGAACACAAATGGAGAACTCTCCAGAAGAAAGTAATCATGATCATTACTGGTCTTGCAACTAGTTCATTCACTTAGCTTCCAATTTACTGTCTTTGAGGACTGATATAAAACACATATAAATGGAGTTCACCTGAATAAATTAAACCAACATGGAATAATCTGCAAGAATTGAATAATAATCCCAAAAGGTTGGCATTAAAACTTTCTTTCTAGTCAATTTAGAGTTGTTTTCAAATATCAGGCAGCAAGTATCCAAGTTAAAGCAAAACAAGTTGGCTTGAAAGTGTTTTAAATTCATCAGTATTATATTGGGGCAAAGAGCTGCCCCAGCCCAGGTTATAAATATGCACACATCCTTTTGGTGAAAGTATTCTATTAGTTTAATCCTGTTATTCAGTGGCAGAGTTATCTGTACTATTCAGGGAATGAACAGAGAATTTCAAAGGGTTAACATTCTCATACTCATGATCAATATTGCAATAGATAACAGAAGACAAGTGCTTTCAAATATGTAATATGCTTCACTGTTGGCAAATAGGAGCTGCAGCAATGGTTCAATACAGGAGCCACAAAATTATACAAGACCTTTCGTAACCTATTGCTGGTCCCACACTGTAATTTGTGTAACAATACACTATTTTTCATTCATTTGTAATTTTCAACAGCAAAATCTTGCATGTGATCCTACCTTCACCAGCGGAAGGGAACTATCAATCAGATTATACATCCGAACACTGGGAGATGGCAAGGCATTGCACTTACTTTTGGTGTTGGGCAGGACGCAGTGGAGAGACGAGAGGTGGCCTGGGCACGAGGAGATTCTGAAGGGGTAGTGCTGAGGGAGGCTGTGTCTCGTGGGAGCACCTGAACACCACGAGAAATGATGGAGTCTGGAATCTGAACAGGACAAGAGATGCAGTTAACAGTCCAAAATAAAAATTACTTAAAAATTATTCAAAATCTTGCATCTGAATCCAAAACTACTTAAAATACCCCATATCTCTCTCTGCCCAGCCTTCTTCAGAATTCTTTCTGGTGACAAGAATTGCACCTTTGGTAGTTCCAAAACAATCCATCAGCAAATATAAGGTCAGATTCTAACCACAGATGCACAGAACATACCACAATTGTCTTAAAAAATTCAAGACTGTATTCAGATACAGCACAATATAAACAAACAAATAAACAACTAATTCAATGGGAGTGGGGACTAAAAGGGTCAGGGGATTGGCAGCAAGACATGGAACTTTTTGCCTCTAGGACTAAGGTTCAAATCCAACACAAGCCAAAAGATTACCACCACACAATGGTTCTTTCATGGCCTGTCTAAAAGGAGTTAGACTCCCAATCCAATTCTTAATGGACTGGTGTCCCAATCACAAAACCAGTACCACACGAAGCATTAATTGATCCCTCTGTTGACAATCTAAGAACAGAGGTCAAGAACTGAATACATATTCCTTTTTATTCCATGTAGTGAAGTTATTGTTTCTTCTAAAAAAAAAAATTAAGTGAATTTGGTGTTGATGAAGGGTGCTGAGTTTATAGCTCTGGAACCTGAAGTCTTATATTTATCCAGAGAGAAGACAGAGCAAGGGCAGCAGCACAACAAACTTTATCTTTACCAACCCATTGCTGTGCCTTGGTCTTTTGTTTTCCATATGTCATTGTTTTCAAATAGTCTGGCCTGCCATTTTTGAACTGCAATTTAAGGGCCAGATCCTTAGCTGGTGTAAATCAGTGTAGCTCCTTTGAAATAAATGGAACTATGCTGATTTATACCAGTTTATGAGCAAACCTATTTAATTACGTATGCTGGGTTATGAAAGTAAATCTAGCCTTTAGTTTTCTCTTTCTAGCTCTTTTGTTCAATCCCAAGGAAAAGCGGAAACATGGTGGATTTAAGAAACAGATTTTCTTGCATCTAAAATATTAAGTTTCAGAAAGCTTCTATGTTCCTATCACTGTAATACGTAGATCCAACCAACCAGAGATACAAAATTGTCTATTATAATTGGACTGCCTGTTCAAATTATTCATTCACTTTTTTGTGTTTTTATAATCTTGTAAGACATATAAAACATGACTTTTGAGTTCCAAAAGTCAGAGAAGTGAGTTCTAAGAGCTGTGAGGGCTGGTTCTACAATATATTCTGTAATATATTTTCCCTATACTGTATAATGTTTTCCCTACAGCCGTCTTCAAAGTCGCACTCCATTATTTTAATCTCCTCCTTTTTCTGAGACCACTTGGCTATTTGGCCAAGTTGCCCTTATTTAGTGGTATTTACTCCCCAATCACAACTGACAGTATGGTGTAGAGTTGATCATGGAACATCAGCTACAATACATTAATACAATACATTAAAGCTTTAGAATAATATTTTTTGAATTTCTCTCCTCACTGAGAGTTTCACACTCTAATGGATCAATACAGTATCCTGTTTTCAATTTCCAAAAGAATAATCATCAGTTTCCACTAGCCAGAGTACAAGACCTATGACTAGCCAAAGGCCAACATGGAAGATGTTTCGGTGGTGGGCACAAGTGAGAATAAGGGGCAAAGCTTTGGCGAGAAGCCAGATCTCTATCTTCAAGTGCTGTGAAAGAGGTGGGCTTGTCAGGGTGCTGCAATCTGGATCCTATTCAGGCATCTTTTTAACGAGCTTCTGGCTGCTAGGGGCTGCAGGGCAACCAACTAATACCCCTTCACAGCAGTTCTTGACATAAAGGGCATCTGAATTTGGAGGAGAAGTGGAAGCAGAGCACGGATAGGGCAGAGAAAGAAGCAGGTAGACTGGGGATAACAAGGGGCCTGGCCAGGGTATTCTTACTGTCCTGGTGATTTTGCACCTGAAATGGAATATAGGGGCCACTAAAATGGAGGTGCAATTTGGGTAGCCTTGATGCCTGTCCTAGCCTGAACACTGGACCTTAATAGGGGAGGCATAAACTGCCTCTTCTTAGTCCCTGTGCTGGTACATACCCCACAGCAGAAATGAATTTAGCCCTAGGTGTCTGATAACTATGAAGTCAAGTATCAGGGGGTAGCCGTGTTAGTCTGTATCTACAAAAACAACAAGGAGTCTGGTGGCACCTTAAAGACTAACAGATTTATTTGGGCATAAGCTTTCGTGAGTTAAAACCTCACTTCTTCGGATGCATAGAGTGAACTTTCACTCTATGCATCCGAAGA